TTTCACTGTCAAGTAAATATTCTCCTCAATGTGTCAATGTCTAATTACGTCATTAAAAGTTTTTATGGTGTCAAAGTCGCTGCCAAAGTCGCTGGCCGTGTTAGAATACCCGGGCTGCAAGCGGACGGGCTGACTCACTCGTAGTGCTTTACCTCGCCCTACTTGTTAACTTATGCATGTGAACTAAACCCACGATCGTTATGTAGGCGTGTTTTGGTCCTTTCCCGTGGTGTCAAGGTATATCGGTCCGTGGAGCCATGCCATTTGCTTGTATTTACATTCTCGGTTACGGCGTTATCCCAGCATGATATTCGTCATAACAAGTACAACTGGCCTGAATGCCTGTATGATGTATCACAAAACGCGTTTAGTGTTCGAAACTTGTATGTTTTACGCGTTGAGCTGATTGAAATCCAAGTGCTCTCGGCAAATGCGACCATTCGTGCTGACGTGCTCACGACACGAATAAGTCACTTGTCAGGCTTGTCTTGCCCTGAATAACAATATTGCAGTTGAGAAGGCGGAATCTGTGCGGCGTTTCTAGACGTCGTGCATCTCGGGGCCACTTTAAATAAGGCGGTGCAATATGGTCTGCACAAGTTGGCGTGCGTCTTGGCTCAGGCACGAGACAATTACCGTGAGCTCTGCACAAGTTGGCGTGCGCCTTGGTTCAGGCACGAGAAAATGACCGTGAGCTGCAGGGAATAGTTTTGAAAATGACCATCTCAGTTTAAAAGAACCCATACAAATGTGGAAAGGTGCCTTTGATGTGGCAAGTTGTTCGTGAACGAGCTGTGATGTTGAGAGCTCTCGGCGATGTTGAGACTTTGATTTTAAGGTGATCTCGACCACATACTGCGATGAATTAAGTACCGTTTGTGATGACGTAAAAATTCGAGGCACATTTGCAGCGCTGCTATAGCGCGCCTTGGATCGTTGTCGAAAGAGGTTTATGCTTTGAACTATTGTCGAGCTAGGTCCCTTGTTAATGCGGTATTAAGTGACAGTGTCGTTTATACGCATATGTTGTGGTAGTTTTCGCTCATGTGTTGCCTGAAGAATGCTTCGGAGATTTCATAGTACTCGTGGATTGTTTATATGCATACTTTGTGGTAGTTTTCTCTCATGTGTTGCCTGAAGAATGCTTCGGGGGTTTCATAGTACTCGCGGATTCTGGCAATCTTGCTTGCCACGGCACGGTGCACCGACGCGTGACGTTCAGTTTAGACGTTCATGCACTAATGTCCAGGCAAAGCCAGTGGCAGGGTTGCAATGTGTTCCTCAGCGGTGTCAGCAGCGGTGTACTCAGCAATTTATTGTCGGGAACGACCGGTTTCTATTTCTGGGGCTTCTGGACAGGCATGCAGATGTAGGGTCAGCGCAGGCGGATAGGGGGGTGGGGGGGGGGGTGGGGAGCGGCGTGGGGTGGGGGTGGGGGAGGGGGGGGTGGGGAGCGGCGTGGGGTGGGGGGTGGGGATGGGGGGTTGGGGGTGGGGGTGAGGGTGGGGGGGGGGGGTTGGGGATGGGGGTGAAATGGTAGGGTACGTAGGATACTTGAAGGCGGTATGGCGCCTTCCGTCCGGCTGTGTCTCTGTGTCTTCCACTACAGTGGGTGTTACGGACTGCGATGCAGAT